GGATTCAAGAATCCGGAAGGGTTTCGGAACTGAGACTTTTATTCCTTTATATAGACTTTTAGCTTCTTGTCATGTCCTGATATGAATTTAATTAACAACTGGATTCATTTTGATAAGGATGAGAAGCTAGGAGTTGGGGGAAAGGGTTGATCCATCTTCGATGGAGATGATGATTTTTATCTACTGAACAAAAACAATAGTAATATAGTAAATAGTAGTAACCCTGTTTTTAGGAGTGACCTCGTGGTCTGGGGATAATGAGACCCAGCCATGAGCTCACTATTTCTGCATGTAATCTAGTTAATTTGAGTGTTTTGACCGAAGCCGAAAGCAGTAACGTTTTTGTCGACCCGATGTTAGAAAAGACCACCGAAAAGTACTGGCTTGGTAGAGACGGTGAAAAGCATATAAAGCTCTGTTTAGACGCTAGCCAGTCGTCTTAGGACTTAGTTTTATTTTCCGTCGATATGTATCTTCCGGGCGAATGTTACAGCCTTCTCGTGCCGTGAAGTCCCGAGAAGAATCTTCGTTTTTCTTCTATTCTTCTGACATGTAATTCGGTTGTATTCCAGTTGTTTTTACGGTTGTTGTGTTGTTTCGTTTGATTTTCGGTCAAAATGGCCATTCTTCGCATTTCTCAGAAATTTCAAAGTTCAAATCGAATTTTTTTAAAATACAAAATTTTACAACATTCTGAGCCTCTTTTCATCAGAACTTCGGTACTAACGCCTTTAACGTTCTTTTTTACCTACAACAGCTGGTTCGATTGTGCCTTATTTTTGCAAATCATCATGTGCATCTACAATGGACACGATGATTTATATCTACTGAACAAAAACAAAAGTAATATAAAAATTAAGCAGTAGCCCTGTTTTAGGAGTGACATGATTTTGCAAATCATCATGTGCATCTACAATGGACATGATGATTTGTATCTACTGAACAAAAACAAAAGTAATATAAAAATTAAGCAGTAGCCCTGTTTTAGGAGTGACCTCGTGGTCTGGGGATTCTGAGACCCAGTCAAGAGCTCACTATTTTGCATGACACCATATTAATTTCCGCAGTTCGGCCGATAGCCTTTAAGTTGTAACGATTTTGTCGACCCGATGTTAATGGACCACACATTGAACTGGCTCTGATAGAGACGGTTAAAAGCATTTGAACCTGTTTCTAGCTGAATGTGTCTAAGCAGAAGTTTCATAACCTAGCCGTATTTTCTTTCGGTATGTACTTCCGGGCGAATGTTACATTGGGGGATTGTTCATATTTATTTTCTTAACCCCATATGTGACTTGAGTGATCGACTGTTAAACTTTTTAACATTCATGCTCCCAAAGCTTGTTGATATCAGTAGAAAAAAAATTTTCTGTTTCATTCCCCGCTCAAATGGCAATAAATGTTTTCTTACATTTTTTTAAATCCTAAATCCTAATATTAAAAGTAAGGTATTTGCAGTGCTTCTTTTTTTAAAATTCTTTATTTGGTACTCAATAGTGAATTCAATATGACTTATTCCTTAGCATTCCACTCGTTTCTATGGTTCTCACCTTTTAACCACCACCTTAAAATGGCACCAATATGAAGAACTTCAAAAATGTCCTACTTTTTCTTCTAGTTTTTTTTTATTGTGAGCGAAACATTTTGTGCTACTCGAACAGCAACCGGATATCCTTAATTTTGCTGTCTTTTGTTTTCTATAATAATTGTTTCGAAAGTTGCCGCGTGATTTCCCTTGCGATAAGCATTGGTAGTGCAATCGGTTACTGGAATGTTTTCTCGTAAATAAATTTTTCACAGGACTCATATCTCCAGTGGTACCTTATATCTGGTTAATTCGAATCTCTCAGCGTTCCTGGTTCTTTTAGCCTTGAGGTAACGAATGTGCCTGGGACTCTAAGGGGCTTGGCTTGAATTTGACTAAGACCTGTTTTGTGTTCATAAGGGAATCATTCTCTGTCAAATAAAATTGTCGACCAATTATTGGTCTGCTGATCTGTTTGTTGCAACATCTTCGAGTCGTTTTATTTTGATGTGCGCATAATTTAAATGGAGCTTTTGATTTACTTGTAGTGATTTATGTTTGACTTAAATTTTTTTTAAAAAAGAATTATTTCTCAAAATAACAAAACATTATGTACAAATACAATTTATGTGCTTAAATTACTTTGACTTTGTAATTCCTGTTTTGCTTAAAGGTTTTGGTTCGGCTCAAATTAATTCGGTTTATTGACTCATTTTTGGGTCGTTTCAAAGGAAGCACATTTATGTTCCTTTCCGAACTTTTTAAGTTGGTTGCATGTTGATTACTCGGTTTCTTGAAATTTTAACTTCTTTCATTTTTTCCGGAGCAATAGAGAGAGAGAGAGAGAGGAAGGCTTAATTTACCCCGTGGGGAGTTTACAATCACAAATAATGAAATGCAAACATAAAACAAAAAAAAAATAATATAAATATATAAAATAAACTATGACCGGCAGAAGGTACAGCAGCACTTTCCATACCAAGTACACGGAATGTTTTCTTCGAATGTTTGACGTAGCTTCGTATCATAGAACTTCATAACTTCACGCTTGTACCGGGGGAATGATAGACGGACATCAAGCTTCATGAAATTCAATAGTCTAGGAATACGGTCAAAATAAAAGGACTTTGTCTTCTCGTATTTTCGCTTCTTTAATTTGAAAGAGTATATATCAACACTCCGTAATGATACAGATGGGTCATTTATATCAACAAAATCGAAGGGGTTTAAATCGTACTTGTCCTGAAACAGTTTATGGAAAAACAGAAGATTTGAGATTTCAATATGATATGGCAGAGGATAGATTCCTAACTTTATCAGTGACGTTTTATAATCACCTGACAGACCGATCCATCTCACACATCTTCTGTTGAAAACTTCGAGCTTGGATAAGTCGGTCTTGTTAGGTATCCAGATAGAAGAACCATAAGTAAGCACAGATAGAATACATGCTTTGTAGAGCCGAACCTTCGTTTGTCTCGGAGTACTGCTCGGAACATTTCGCTTTAACATAAAGTACACTTTGTTGCACTTGAATAACTTTTCAGAAACATGGTGCGACCACGATAAATCAGAACTGAAAATGATCCCAAGATCTTTGACGTCTAAAGATTCATCGATTTTGTGATCACCAATATAGAGATCTGGGTTTTCAGAGCTGTGGTTAAAAAACTTCAGGACTTTACATTTGTCAGGATGTAAATCGAGAGAATTTTCGCCACACCAATTGATAACAGCATCTAGATCGCGTTGAAGTACGGGAACAGAGGTACTGCAGCATTTCAGATCATCAGCAAAGAGGGATGGCTTGGATAAGAGATAATCAGGAAGATCGTTCACAAATAACAAGAACAATAACGGCCCCAGAATACTACCTTGCGGGACACCACTCATAATGCTCACAAAATCAGAGAGCACACCATTGATTCGCACACGTTGAAAGCGTCCAGAAAGATAACTTTTAAGTAATTGGAGAAAGCTAACATCCAAACCGAAATCCGCAAGTTTTTTGAGCAATTTATGGTGAGGAACCGAGTCAAACGCCTTTTTGATATCCGCATAAAAAACAAAAGACGAAATACCAAGTTCGTGATTCCTATAAAGCTCATCACAGAAGTTTAACAGTTGCGTGACAGTTGAACGCCTTGACATAAAGCCGGATTGGTATTTCGTAATTTTCGGCCTATTGCTAGTGTAAATGTAATCAAATAAGATACGCTCCAGACCGAGGGAAAGTTTCGGTAGCAGGCTGATGGGACGATAATTGGACACATCACTGTGGCTATCCTTCTTGTAAAGAGGAGTTATGTACGCAGTTTTCCAAACATCGGGCCACTTTTTTCGCTTTAAAATGTCTTCATAGAGAGCAGCTACTAGAGGACTCAGTTGAAATGCACAATGTTTTAGGAAAGCCGGCGGGACATCGTCACAGCAGACAGAAGCAGAGTCATTTGCCGACTGAAGAAAATGTAAGACTTTTTCATGACTAACAGACACCTTGCACAACTCAATGGTAGAAGAAGTACTAAGGCTGGTAATCTGAATCTCCCCGGAGGTCTTGAAGACAGACGCAAAAAAGTCATTAAAAAGATTGGCCTTCTCAATAGTAGTGGAAGCAGATCTTTTTGCAAAATGCATTGTGCCTGGGTAGGGAGAAGAATTGCTCAAGCTTTTCAAAATCTTGAAGCAAGAATTGACGTCCATAGTCTCATAGGATTGCAGGAAGCAGACCTTGTCAAGTTCCATTGACACATTTAGACTGTCTACAAGAGTGCTATGATCGTGCATGGGATTGCGCTTTTTCTGGGTGCCAAGTTTATTTAAAAGGTGGACCGTATGTGAAGAATAATAAAACGGCAGATTTTGACGTTTGAGTCTTTTACGGTAGGAAGAAACACGCACACTCTCATTTAGAATTGAGAAAATCACCACGCTGAAGTCATCATACAAATGGGCATACTGCAGAGCATTATAACCAGAATTAAGCATCACGGAGAACGTAGTATAGTCAAAGGAGGATTTGGAGTAGGCTACTGGTCGAATTTCATCGTCTGATTTAGTAGGAAACGTAATGCTGACAGGCTTGTGATCAGAGAAATCGGACTCCAAAACTTCAATATCACCAGGATTAGCACGGTTAAGCAATAGGATATCGAGAATGCTCCCACTGCAATGTGTTGGTGAATGCTCCCACTGCAATGTGTTGGTTTCTCCAATAGGTTTTGGCTGGTTTATTATTGGCTTACTAGCCTCTTTTTGCCTCGTTTGATGCGCGATAAAGTTTTTGTATGCCTGTGTTGTGCGTTATAAGGAGAGAGAGGGGACACTTTATTGTTTCAATATACTTATGCAGTTGCAGAACTGATTGTATAAGAATCTAGTGTACAATATTACGCAATGGTTATATAACATAACAAGAAAAAACATAAATTACATAACCCTGTTATGTAATAACATATAACATAATTATATAACATAACATAAGGGGAAGGGGGTCGTAAAAATTTCTAGTATTGAATTAAATAAACTTTTGGCTTGAAGAATTTCTGATCAGATATTTTCTGCTTTGTCACCACTTGGTTTATTTTGTTCGGATGCTGAAATTTTATTCTATTGTTTGGACCTTATTTTGCTAACACAATCTTCAATCATTTTGATAGATCTATTTGTATTGCAAGTGGTGCGAAGCTCAGCTTCGACTCCGTTATCTTTAAAAAAACTGCTAATAACCTTTGTTCAGATTTCATGGTCCATCTTCGAAAACGGGACCCTGCGGGGTTTGCGAAATCCAGGAACCTTGCAAATAGAATTAAAGGTAATGAGGAGAAGAAGGAAACTGAGAAATCTGCCAAACTTCTTGATTATTTTAGCTCGGGTTTTTCGTTTGTTTTTGGTGACGTGAATGGCTTTAGCAGTGGATCTGAAACAGATTCTGCCTACACCCCTCTAAACTCAATTGCATTCAAACTATTCCTTATTAGTCGTTTTTGCTCTGCCATGATGTCTAATATTAACGATTGTGATGAAACCTACAATTATTGGGAACCACTGCACTTCATATCTTATGGATGTGGATTTCAAACGTGGGAGTATTCGCCTCATTTTGCTCTCAGATCATACGCCTTTCTCTGGTTATACGGCTGGATTGTACCTCTGGCAAATTATTTTGCGCCGTCTCGTTTAGTGATGTTTTTTGTTGTTCGCTTAACTCTTGCCTTTCTCTGCTCATTTTTTGAGCTTCTCTTCTACAGAGCAGTAGTGAAAATTTACGGCAACAGTGTTGCCAGGCTAGTGCTACTTTTCTTAGCCTTTAGTCCAGGAATGTTTGCAGCATCAGTTGCCTTTCTTCCAAGTTCGTTTGCAATGTATATGTGTCTCATTGCTTTTTCTAGTGTTTTACTGTTCCAAAACTTTTTGGCAATTTCCAGCATAGCCTTGTCTGTTCTTGTCGCATGGCCTTTTTGTGCAATCATCGGAATTCCTGTGGCACTAGATGTGATATTTATTCAAAAGAAGTTCAAAGTTTTCATATTTTACTCTATAATATCATTCTTCCTGATTATGTCTTACATGTGCTATATCGACTCTCAATATTATAACAAGTTTGTAGTTGCGACATTTAATATTGTGAATTACAACATCTTCTCCTCACATGGGCCGGACTTGTACGGAACAGAACCTTTGAGTTACTACTTTAAAAATGCTTTCCTAAACATGACTGTGGCTTTTCCGTTGTCCCTAGTATTACCGGTTGTTCTTTTGGCCAAGTCGTGGAGTAAAAACATGCGTGACATTTTCTACTACAGTCGAAAGTGGCTTCCGTTATTAGCATTATACTTGTGGTACTTTGTGTTTTTCATGCAGCCTCACAAAGAAGAAAGGTTTCTTTACCCAATTTACCCGCTTATTGCTCTTGCTGCAGCTTGTACGCTGGCCCTTTTTAGCAGTTTCTTCTCCAAGACATCTCGCTTGAGATATATAGCATCAACGGTTACATTCCTTGCGCTAAGCACGCATATAACACTGGGAGTGTCTCGTATTGGAGCCCAATTTGTGGGTTTTCATGCGCACATGGACGTGTACGGGGACTTCAATGTATGGTATGAGCAGAACCATTTGATCAACTCGCATGGTGTTGAAAATAAAGAAGATCCGACTGTAGAGAACTCAATTTTGTGTGTGGGAAGGGAGTGGTACAGATTTCCCTCCTCATTTTTCTTGCCTGACAACGTGCGATTACATTTTATACAGTCTGAGTTCAAAGGTGAGCTTTTATGTTTATGAAAATTCAATGAACTTATTAAATTTTGTGCAGTTATTGCAAGGTTATTAATAGGACCACTTTTTCTGTTCATGTAAAATAAAGCTAGCGTGACACAAGGATAGCCGGTTGCTGTGTCGACCACAATGATTGAAGTAAAGAACCCAAACAAAAAATTATCAGGAACTAAAAATTTTACCGAGTTTTTCTTGGGAGACAACTTTTTTATGTGTCAGTGAATGTAGCGAAACCACTTTGTGATGCCATGTTTTTTTTGCAATAGGAAAAATCATAAAATTTGATCATGCTGAAGTTGAACTTTTCGCTTTTGAGTCGATAAACGTAGTGACTGGTCTTGTTGTTCCGACCATGGAAAATGAAGAGGAACTTTGTATTCGAGTGTGTTTTTGTTTTCCACACAAAATCAGGTACCTCTTATAATCATCGGACTGGGTTGAATGATATATCTGGACTAATTTTTGGTTTTTGGTCTAATTTCTAGCTGATAAGATCATTAAAGTTTAATTTAAATCGTGAAAACTTAGTTTTACTCGAGCAACGTTAGTTTTTGAGTTTGAAGCGCTATTTTGGTAATCAAAGTTTTCAAAAATTCAAAAATAATTCTGCAAAAAATTTGAACAAATTCTGTTTTGTCGTTTTTGTAGGCTATTTTTTTTATACAAAAACTGTTTTTCAATTGGCCTATTCAACTATGGTTGTCGAATATGCCTAATTTTTATTTTTTTTTGTCGATCAGATCTTTTTATTACACCACACAGAAAAAAAAGACACTAAATATGAAAAAAAAGTTGTTCAATTTTTTTAAGGCTATGATCGGAACATTCTGTGCTATAACCGGCTATCCTCGTTGCTTTTTCGGATGCTCTAATGATGTCAGAAGTGCGTCCATATATATTTATGAATTTATGAATGCACAGAAGTTTAAATGCACTTTTTTGAGTTCGATTCAAATTAATTTGCTAACAGGCAAATAAATTGCACTCACCAAATACGAATGCGGAAAAAACGTAGACTACTGCTAGTTTCGAAAATATAATTTTCATTTTTAGTTTTCCTAGCAGGATAAAACATTAATCCATTGATCCAGTTTTCTTAAATTGGGTTTATTGTATCAAAAAAGTGTCAAGCATAAGTTGTTATTGGGGTTCACAGAGCTTTAAGGCCATTGATTTTTTTAAAATTCGAAAACTGAAGTTTTTTTTTCTGAAAACGCATCAGTTTTTTTGCCATTTTGTGATTATTGTCTCTTTGTTGGCTATGATTTAAATTCAATTCAGACTCATTTGCTAAAAGAAAGGCAGGTTATGATCTCCAATTGAGAAGGGAAACATGTGATCAACTTCAAGTTTCGAAAGTGGATTTTAATCTTTAGATTTCCCTGCGGAATAAGAAAAGTTAACTAATGATGCAGTTTTCTTAAATGGGGTTAACTTAATCGAAAATGTGTCGATAATAAATTTTTCTTAAACTTCGAACATCTTGAAGGGCATTATATTTTGTGAAATTCGAAACTTAGTCTTCAATTTTCTTGGGCTCATTTTTACTTTTCCAACTATGTTGGCGCTGAGTGAAATTTGAAATTAGTCTTTTTTTTTAGTTTTCTTGGCCTCATTTTTACTTTTCCAACTATGTTGGCTGTGTTTACATTTCCCATTAGAATAAAAATTTACCCCTTGACCCTGTTTTCTTTAATATGATTAAATTTTGAAAAAAGTGGCAATTCTAAAAGGTTCTTGAAATTTCAAGAGTTTTAATATAATGCATGGTTTTTAGGCAAATTATGTTCTCCAATTGCTTGCATATGGTGCGGAAAAACATAAAATATGAGTTTCGATTTCAAAAGTCCAGTTTCTTTTTTTCTCAGCGGAGAAGATACCTTTCGATCCGTTTTTCTTACGGGTTATTTTCATCAAAAATTGTCAATCATGAATGATTTAATGTGATGTTTTTTTTAAAAAACGAACTTCATAGCGTTCAAAAATAGTCAATGTCTTTTTTTCGGTTCCCTGGAGTTCATTGAAACGATGCGAAGTTCATGTTGGTCATGTTTTTCTGGAGTCAGAATCACGACTAATGTGGGATTTTTATGATACCACCACTCGGTACAAGTATGATAGTTGAGTCCCTCAAATTTAGGTGGGCTCCTGAAGGATTTTTTTTGTGCTTAAAATGTTCGGAAACAGGCTAAGAATTTGTTTGCTTGTGTTTTTGAATTTTTCTCAAAAATTGAGGGACCCATCTTTCATACTTGCTTTTTTCAAGGACGCAACTATCATGCTTGTACCCACCACTCTTGAACAGCTGTGAGCGTTCTTTGAGGTTTTCAAAATTAAAATCCAGCGGAGAAAAATGTTTTTCAGTTTTTAAGGTTAATTTTGAGCCAAAAAGTGACCGAGCATATATTGTTGTGGTCGGGACTCTCTGTGCTACTTGAGCAGGAAACGGTTACTCTTGTTTCCGATTTTTTTTTTTCAAATCTGTTTGGTTCACTTTTTTGATACTGTAAAAGTAAATTAGTATGTTTTGAACGGAATTTTGTATTTTCTTTCATGTTGTTCACGCTCTGTTTAATTTAGGCCAACTACCAGCCCGCTTCTCGGAGGGTATTGAGGGGACCACTTCACTGCTCCATACTCACTTCAACGACATGAACAAAGAGGAGGCTTCCAGGTACGTAGAGGTGTCCAGGTGTGACTTCCTAGTGGACACAATGATAGCTGGAAAAGAAGATAGTGTGCTGGAACCTCTGTTTGGTGCTAACCTGGATAAGTGGAAACCGATAGTAGCGAGAGAAGTCATTGACCCCGAGGCATCCAACCCTCTATGTCGTGCATTCTACATTCCAATTGTGTCCAGATGGTGCACGAAGTATGTGAGCTATCTGGTGCTGCAGGCAGTCGCTAAGTAAAGTGGAACCCATCAAATGACCTTTCATTGTAGACTATTAGAAGCTGACGATGGGCATGTGTACCAACCTTATTGTCGATATGGAAAGTTGACTGTTTGCTCTATCTGGAAGAAGTGGATCATTAAATTTTCCATTGAAAACTTTCCTCTATCTGGAAATCATTCCTATTTAATTGGATCATTGATATTATTCATAAACTTTGTTTTTTTTCTGATGTTGGAAACGGACAAATTTGTATCTTAGCGGCTAAAAAAGTGGGGAAAAAGTTTTCCATTGTTTCGTGAACAACAAAAAGTATCTAATTTTCCCATGCTTTTTGCATATTAGAGAGAGGGTATTCGGTTATCTATTGTATGGAAAACCGTTATGGATGGCTGATGAACTGTTCTGTTAAAATGATATTTATTTTGGATACGTGTAATCAGTTATTTATGTGCATTGCATTGTTGTAATTTGATCTGTTTATTATTGTTATTTTGTCGTGGATTTATAACCATCCTACATTTTATTATTTGTCATAGTAGCAAGAAGATATGTTTATTTATTTGGATATGAAATGTGGAAGAACAAGGAATGCATCTGTTATGACAACGATTGCATTAAAAGCAGAAGCAATAAATAAACCAAATCAATTCGAAAAAAATTCGCTTTGGAAATCAACATCTATTTTTGCCTTGTCAATCAGTGCAATCATCACCAAAAAACAGCAATGGAAGGGAAACAGTTGCGTCTCGTGAGCGGATTAGTGGTGGGAACCTTGGTTCTAGAGGCAATGGGTGTTCTATTTCTGCTCCTCAATTCAACAGGAGACAACAAATCTTCTTACTCTGTCTCGGCAAAAGAGATCATGTATGCGACCAGACCTTATCCAGTGTTTCAGACACATGTGTCGAGGTTTGGACCCGACTACAGTCTAGACCTGTCAGTCGGTTTCATATTTGATGCGAGTAACAAAGAAGAGTTCGACTTCATGTTTACGAATTTCAGGCTGATTTTGAGGCATCTAAACCAGCCGATTAATGTCTTCGTGTGCCACGAGGACCGACTCAACCTCTCGAAAGACCAAATTTGGCTTTTGAATTTTGTCCTCAGAGTTCAGTTGCAAATAGACAAAAGAGAGGAGAATACAATTGCCAATTGCAGAGACAAATTCAAAGCTCAATATCATCAAAAGCAGCCGCAACATGTTGTAGTCTTCGGACCGGAAGTGCGTTTGACCGAAAAGTCTGTTTCCGACATTTTGAAGATCATTGAGCAGAAAGAACGAGAAGACGAATTCAGTCCGATTGTTCTGGCTAGCAACTACAACCCAGTCATGTGGATCACATCTGGAGCAGTGGCTCTTTTGGGATTGACAGTACTTTGCAGCTTGTCAGTTCTATTCAGAAGGGTGAAACAAGAAGTTCTCCTTGGAGAATCGTTTTCGAGGTCAAGCTGGGGTTCTGAAAAAAGGAACAAAACTAAGACTGGTAGCCTCTACTTTATTTGCGACAGAAATGTGCAGTCAGTGCTTCTTCTGCTTTACTCGATAGCTACGATTGTGTTGCTGCAGACGCAAATACAAACATACATTGAGCGATATGTGATGAGAGGTGGAGTTAATTTAAACTGGCTTGTGAATTTTAACCTGGAAAGTGTCGCAGTTTTGTTCTCAAGGGAAGATTCAGGCAGCCATCATAGTTTAGACTCTCTCTTTCACTCAGCTAGACTCATTTCGATGCAATAGAATTAAATTATTTAAACTAACTTTTACATCAGTCAGAAAATGTGTAGGTCATGTGTTTCTTTTGTTTTGTTTTCTGTACGAAAAAGTCCTTGCTTTTCTCGGCCTGATTTTTATTTGGATTTAAGTTCCTTTCTAATTCATTTGGCGAAATGGAAGGCAAATTACGTTCTCCAGTGACAATTTCAAATGGTACAAAAAAGAGTAAATGAATTGCAGTTCCAATATGAGTTTCAGTTTTAAGAGAAATGAACGTAGTGAGTACTCTTAAATAGGTCTTGCCGATTTTTTTTGTTTTTTTTTGGAAAAAAAAAACAAACCTTTTAGAAAAAATTGGAAAAAATTTTTGTTTCCTTACGTTCATTACTCTTCCAACTGCCAGTTGGCTATGTTTTTGCTTTTTCAGCGGAAAAAAATTCATAGATCCATTTTTTCTCATATTGGGCTAGGTTTAACAAAAATGTCAATTTTAAAGGATACTTGGAATTGAAGAATTTCAAGGTGATATGTTTTTTCTTGAAACGATGTTTTTCAAAGGTACTGCAAATAGCTGCATTTGTTAAGGTCGATTGATCGGTTTGTTCACTTTTGTTACATTTGGGATCAGCAAGCGTTCTCAAATCGGGACATGAACTTTTTATCAGATAAACAACTTGTGTAACAAATCACCGAATCATTTGATGGCTTGATGTAACGTCAAGTAAAATCAGATTCTTAATCTGCGCATATGGCAAAGACGTAACGTCTGTGCCTGACAAAATACAGTTTCAAATAGGGTGGGCAGCGCCTGAATATATTTCAATTCGTATAGCGTTTGTCGTCTTTTTTTTCGTCTTAATTGCCACATCTCTTGACTTTTTTGTTTTTGGGAGTGCTTTTCTCATTATCCTGTGTGATGAGAACAGGTATTATGAAAATGTGTGTGATTTGGTTCATATTTAAGAGTCGATGGACGTCGTGAAGACTCGTATAAAGATCCTGATGCATTTTTTTAAGAGTAATGAACGTAGTGAAGACTCTTATATAGGTCTTGCTGATTTTTTTTTCAGGAAAAGTCTCTAATAACTACAGATGTGCATTCATACATTGATGCATTTATGAATGCTTTTAAGTATATATGCGCTTTTTCAGTTCAATTGAAATTCATCTGCTGAAAATAACATAAATAGCATAGTATCAAAAATACAATTTAATAGATTTCCAGCGGAATAAAAACTTAACCTATTCATCCAGTTTTCTCTAGTTAGGTTCATGTTATCAAAAAAGCGCAAATCATAAATTGTCTAGAAGTTCAAAGAGCTTAACGGGCATTCGAAATTTGAGATTTTTTCAACAAAATCAGTGTTTTTATTATGTTTACTTGCGTTCATTACTCTTTTCCAATCTTCGATTGAATATGTTTTCTTCCAGAAAATTTTTTTTGTGAAGGCTCGAATTAGATATTTCGCGGTTCGCTTTCTATTAAAGTCCAGTTCATTTCCTTAAAAAGAAGGCAAACTCCACTATCGTACAGCTAAAGTGTAAAGGCCACGAGAAACGTGATCGACTTCTAGTTTCGAAAGTGAGTTTCAATTTTCAGACTTGCCAGCGGAATAAAAAATATACATTTTTGTTCAGTTTTCTCAAGTTGAGATAGTTTTTACCAAAACAGTGTCAATCCTAAATTGTTCAAGAAATTCGAAAAGCTTTGAAGCCACGGTCTATTTTATTCTTTGAAAGTTGCGTTAATTTTATCAAAAAAGTGAAAATTATAAATTGCTCGTGAAATTAAAGAGCTTAAATGACATATATATTTTTGTTTGAATTTCGGAAGTTGAAGTTGTTTAAAAAACACGTCAATTTTTCTCTGTTTACTTGACTTCATTGACCGCTGTTGCCTTTTTTAAGACGCTTTGAAGAATTTCACTTTTTGCAGTTTTCTCAAAAACTATTTTTGTTGATTTTCAAAAAAAAAATTACCAATGGAAAAACCGGCTCTTTCCACGTATGCTTGAGTTTTCTTCTAGTGTCGCCTACGTTACCCCCCACGTTCTGCGGCTTTGAAACTTCCAGTGGAGGGAATTTTCTACCCATTTTTTTTGTTATTTTTATTCATTTCTTCGATAACTACTCCGCTAAATCTAAGAGTAAAGGTTCCACCGAAAGAACTGGTAGTAAGGTTTTTCTGCATAAATGGCTACACGCTATTTGTTGTAGATGTTTAGTTGGATCTTTTGTCTTGAAACAAACCTTCTAAATCTGAGATATAGGGTTCACTCCGAAAAACAGATTGTTCGAGTCTTTTTTACGCAAGCAGCTACGCCTTAATTTTTGAACAAAAATTCTGGCCTTAGAAATTTTACAAGTTATGAAAAGTTTGCGCGTTTTTTGCAAACTTTCTCTCGGAAACATTTGGTTTTTCTCAAAAGCTAACTTGCCAAATCTGATCAAACGAAAGAACAGGTGATACGATTTTTCACAGAACAACAGCAACGGTTACGCCTTTATTTTTGTGCAGAAGTAATGTTGGTCTTGAACTTTGAAATGATGTCGCAGTTTTTACAATCCGATTTTTTACCCCTTTGTACTGGCATATTGTTTCTAGTGCAAAGCTCTGCTGGACACAATAGGTCAGACAATAGACTGGACACAATAGGCTCTTTTTTGATCCCATCCTACTTAATAGAAGCATCAGTTTTGTAGTGTAACGAGTGGTTTTACAGGGCAGCATAACATTTCTTTAACAAACGGTTTCAACGGTCCTGAATGTCTGTTAATTGTATTATCTGCCGAGAGAATAGTCCATGCTTGAGTTTTCATGCTTCATGTACTTTTTTACTTTGTCAAGTGGTACTGAAGTTTGGAGTGAGACTAATCACCTGACTGTGAACCTGACTGTGTTGAAAACTTTTTTAGTCTATTCTTGTAATCGTGCAGGTAAGAATATTCCATTATTTCGGCCGATTCTCTATTGAAAAAGATTCTTCAACTCAATTGACAACTCATTGTAGAACCATTAATCATTGTATATAAATCATCAACGAATCACTTGAATCACTTGTGTCAAGGCTGGTAAGGAATTCAAATGTCTAAGAAACTTCGGTAAACTTAGTCTGGAGGGGACGAATACGCCTGGGACGGCAAAGGGCCTAAGTTCAAATCTGGCCAGAAACTTAATTTTTTAAACTGGAAACATTCCGTTTCAAAAAAATTGTCGGCTTATTATTTGTCTGCTTATGTTTTGTCGGCTTAGTTGCAACATTTTTTTTTGCCTTGTGCAGTTTTCATTCATTGTAGTTGTTTTCTATGTTTTCATTTATCCCTGCAATTGGTAATTCTACTAGCCTTGACTTCGTATATTTTCGTTTTCCTTTTTTTTGCTTGAAACTTTTTTTGGTCTAAATGATTTCTTCTTGTTTTCAATCAGCCTACTACCCTAATTTTGGGTCGGTCGAGGGAATCATAATACGTATACTTTCTTCCGCTACGCACAAAACGTTAAAAATCTCAGAATAGAATTTATAGATCAAAGTTTTTCAAGACATTTTTATAGGTCGCGCTGATTTTTGCTTCAGTCTTAAAATATGTTTTTAGCTCATTTGGTTTTTCATGATTTGAATGTTGCTTTTTAAATTCAGTTCCTTTCCTATGGACTACGTGATGATAGCTTCCCCAGTGGAATATAAATCACCCAATGAATCAATTTTATTTTTATCGAATATTGGCAATCTTAACATGATCCTGAAATTTGAAGGCATATGTTTGTTTAAAAGGCATATATTTTTTCTTCGAAATTCGAAAGTCATGCGTTTTTCAATAATCAAGACAATATTTTTTCATTTTCCTTGTACTCATTGACACTTTTCCTTGACAATGTCTATTGGCTATGGTTTTAACTGTAAATGAAATACGGGATTTCAAACAGTATTTGTTGTTTTTGATTGTGTGTCATTCATTGAAAAGTGCTTTGTGTTTCATGGGTTTGAATCAATGTGTGAAATTATATGTATGTGTTTGAGAATTAGATGGATAGAATTCAAACGTCTCGTAGTAATGTGTTCCCCTTTGAAGTGGCATATTTTCGGCTCAATACCCGTGTGAGAAAAAAAATTTTATGTTCTTTTTTTTCGTGGTTTGTCTATTTATACATTATTTAATTGGCGTTTTTTCACATGAGACATGTTTAAGAAGTCCATATGTGGACATGTTAAAATGCAAAATATCGCTACGTTTTGTGCTTCTTTCGGTTAAAAATTCAATTCTAAATACGTGTATCCATATGTGTTATTGAATGCAAATTTTCAAGATTATTTGCGGTTTTCACCATGCATTTGTTGGAGTGCGAATGCTATTTTAAAGCTCTCATTTTTTCCTTTTTGCAGTGTCTACTTCACAAAATATGAGAAAAGTAACTTTTCAACCCTATGTTGGGTTGTTGTCAGGGTTCTCCAAGGGTTGCAAACATTGCCTCAAAATCTTACTGGTCAAGTCGTTTAATTTTACGAGTTATAGAATGCTTACGATTTTTCCAAAAACGTACTTTTAAGAAGAGCATCTCAAAATTTAAATTTGACGTTTAAAAAATGTGAGGTGATATCAAGGTGTTTCCAATTGATGCAGGTGTGGCCTCTAAACTTGGCTGCTCAAATCTTTGTAGTTTCTGAGATATCAAATTTTATTGATTTTTTCAAAAGCTTTCAAAAAATTTTGTGATTTTTTTTCATGAGGTCTGGTCTCCAAATATGGCTAATCAAATTCAATTCTTGCTGTGATAACGTATTTTACGGTTTTTTCATAAATTTTCCTTAAAAGATTCATTTACATGTTTTTGGAAATATGGAATGTGCAGTTGAGTGATGTCGGCCTTTTTAGGATCTTTTTTCTAGTTAAAATATTAAGATGTGAAAGTCGTTAGTTTTGGAGATAGGGCCGTATCTGTAAAAAAAAAGAACCTAAAAGTTGATTTTTTTCTAAATCGTTCAATTTATGAAATAAAAACGGTTTTTGGGCGTCCCAGTATATTATTTCGGTTGCACTGAATTTCGTTGCGTAGGAAGCCGTTCTACCATTTAGTTGAAACATCGTAGGTGTGTTTGCTTGAATTTTGCGGATTGAGTTTGCGATGTGCATTCAGCTTAGCTTCTGTGGTATTTTTGATACGTGTAAGAGCTGTTCAGAAAGATCAATTTTTTGTTCCAGTTGAACCTATGTCTCGAAAACCTTATTGGCTGGAACATCGGCTGATCCACCCAATTAGACCTAGTTAAATCCATCGACCAAGTCGTTTCTTTTTGTGCCAGCTGAAACTGGACTCAAATTCTTATTTCTCAACTAATTCTGCAGCAGTGCGGTCATAAACAAGATAACAAAAACCAAGTACCCTTGAGTTAAAGAGACAAAGAGAGACGCGAAAGTATGTCGTCTCTTCGCACGTTCAAATGCAGGGACTTTTTGAAGATGGCGCGAATCAACCTCGACCCCCTGACGGAAACATATGCACTCCCCTTCTATTTGCAATACTATGTAAAGTGGCCAGAATACTTCCTCATGTCAGAAACCCCTTCAGGTGGGAAACATTGAAAGAACAGTCCGTTTTGAAATAACACTCAAAATGGAAAATCTAGCAAATTTTTCTTCTATTTGAGCGTGAATGAATGGAAAGTTTTTGTGCATCCGTAACAGCGGTTACGCAATGAGGATGGACGAAAAAATTACCGGGTCAAACCAAGAGTACTGTGTATGGCCATGAATGAAACAACTTCATGAATTCCTTGTCCACTTTTTCGAACCGTTTAATTGAAAAATGTGTGCAGAAAAATTTTGCTGCCGAAATTTTGGTCATTGATTTGTAAGGGAATATACACATGGGCCTCGTTTGGTTTTGAATTGTTGAAAAGACTTTTGAATGCAGTTATTTTGGACCACCTTGTTATTCTTCTCCCCCTCCCCCTTAAGCATCATAGGCGGGGGAATATTAAGTTGACTCTCAGTTGGAATTATCAGCCAATCAGATCGAGTATTTCAGGCGCGAACTCTTATTCTATATGCAAACTGAATGGTGAAGTAGAGTTTCTTAACTGGGTCGATTGTGAAGCATGTCAAGTTGACTCGTTATTTCAAACTTGAAAGAATAGTTAGAATGCGCTGCTGTGTGTAGGCGAGGTGCAGGGCTACATCATGGGCAAAAGTGAGACATTCAGGCGGGAGGGGGAGAGTTCCTGGCATGGTCACGTGACCTGTCTCACAGTGTCCCCGGAACACAGGCGAATGGGACTGGCCAATAGACTCATGCATCTGCTGGAACAGGTCAGACAATAGACTGGACACAATAGGCTCTTTTTTGATCCCATCCTACTTAATAGAAGCATCAGTTTTGTAGTGTAACGAGTGGTTTTACAGGGCAGCATAACATTTCTTTAACAAACGGTTTCAACGGTCCTGAATGTCTGTTAATTGTATTATCTGCCGAGAGAATAGTCCATGCTTGAGTTTTCATGCTTCATGTACTTTTTTACTTTGTCAAGTGGTACTGAAGTTTGGAGTGAGACTAATCACCTGACTGTGAACCTGACTGTGTTGAAAACTTTTTTAGTCTATTCTTGTAATCGTGCAGGTAAGAATATTCCATTATTTCGGCCGATTCTCTATTGAAAAAGATTCTTCAACTCAATTGACAACTCATTGTAGAACCATTAATCATTGTATATAAATCATCAACGAATCACTTGAATCACTTGTGTCAAGGCTGGTAAGGAATTCAAATGTCTAAGAAACTTCGGTAAACTTAGTCTGGAGGGGACGAATACGCCTGGGACGGCAAAGGGCCTAAGTTCAAATCTGGCCAGAAACTTAATTTTTTAAACTGGAAACATTCCGTTTCAAAAAAAATTGTCGGCTTATTATTTGTCTGCTTATGTTTTGTCGGCTTAGTTGCAACATTTTTTTTTTGCCTTGTGCAGTTTTCATTCATTGTAGTTGTTTTCTATGTTTTCATTTATCCCTGCAATTGGTAATTCTACTAGCCTTGACTTCGTATATTTTCCTTTTCCTTTTTTTTGCTTGAAACTTTTTTTGGTCTAAATGATTTCTTCTTGTTTTCAATCAGCCTACTACCCTAATTTTGGGTCGGTCGAGGGAATCATAATACGTATACTTTCTTCCGCTACGCACAAAACGTTAAAAATCTCAGAATAGAATTTATATATCAAAGTTTTTCAAGACATTTTTATAGGTCGCGCTGATTTTTGCTTCAGTCTTAAAATATGTTTTTAGCTCATTTGGTTTTTCATGATTTGAATGTTGCTTTTTAAATTCAGTTCCTTTCCTATGGACTACGTGATGATAGCTTCCCCAGTGGAATATAAATCACCCAATGAATCAATTTTATTTTTATCGAATATTGGCAATCTTAACATGATCCTGAAATTTGAAGGCATATGTTTGTTTAAAAGGCATATATTTTTTCTTCGAAATTCGAAAGTCATGCGTTTTTCAATAATCAAGACAATATTTTTTCATTTTCCTTGTACTCATTGACACTTTTCCTTGACAATGTCTATTGGCTATGGTTTTAACTGTAAATGAAATACGGGATTTCAAACAGTATTTGTTGTTTTTGATTGTGTGTCATTCATTGAAAAGTGCTTTGTGTTTCATGGGTTTGAATCAATGTGTGAAATTATATGTATGTGTTTGAGAATTAGATGGATAGAATTCAAACGTCTCGTAGTAATGTGTTCCCCTTTGAAGTGGCATATTTTCGGCTCAATACCCGTGTGAGAAAAAAAATTTTATGTTCTTTTTTTTCGTGGTTTGTCTATTTATACTTTATTTAATTGGCGTTTTTTCACATGAGACATGTTTAAGAAGTCCATATGTGGACATGTTAAAATGCAAAATATCGCTACGTTATGTGCTTCTTTCGGTTAAAAATTCAATTCTAAATACGTGTATCCATATGTGTTATTGAATGCAAATTTTCAAGATTATTTGCGGTTTTCACCATGCATTTGTTGGAGTGCGAATGCTATTTTAAAGCTCTCATTTTTTCCTTTTTGCAGTGTCTACTTCACAAAATATGAGAAAAGTAACTTTTCAACCCTATGTTGGGTTGTTGTCAGGGTTCTCCAAGGGTTGCAAACATTGCCTCAAAATCTTACTGGTCAAGTCGTTTAATTTTACGAGTTATAGAATGCTTACGATTTTTCCAAAAACGTACTTTTAAGAAGAGCATCTCAAAATTTAAATTTGACGTTTAAAAAATGTGAGGTGATATCAAGGTGTTTCCAATTGATGCAGGTGTGGTCTCTAAACTTGACTGCTCAAATCTTTGTAGTTTCTGAGATATCAAATTTTATTGATTTTTTCAAAAGCTTTCAAAAAATTTTGTGATTTTTTTTCATGAGGTCTGGTCTCCAAATATGGCTAATCAAATTCAATTCTTGCTGTGATAACGTATTTTACGGTTTTTTCATAAATTTTCCTTAAAAGATTCATTTACATGTTTTTGGAAATATGGAATGTGCAGTTGAGTGATGTCGGCCTTTTTAGGATCTTTTTTCTAGTTAAAATATTAAGATGTGAAAGTCGGTAGTTTTGGAGATAGGGCCGTATCTGTAAAAAAAAAGAACCTAAAAGTTGATTTTTTTCTAAATCGTTCAATTTATGAAATAAAAACGGTTTTTGGGCGTCCCAGTATATTATTTCGGTTGCACTGAATTTCGTTGCGTAGGAAGCCGTTCTACCATTTAGTTGAAACATCGTAGGTGTGTTTGCTTGAATTTTGCGGATTGAGTTTGCGATGTGCATTCAGCTTAGCTTCTGTGGTATTTTTGATACGTGTAAGAGCTGTTCAGAAAGATCAATTTTTTGTTCCAGTTGAACCTATGTCTCGAAAACCTTATTGGCTGGAACATCGGCTGATCCACCCAATTAGACCTAGTTAAATCCATCGACCAAGTCGTTTCTTTTTGTGCCAGCTGAAACTGGACTCAAATTCTTATTTCTCAACTAATTCTGCAGCAGTGCGGTCATAAACAAGATAACAAAAACCAAGTACCCTTGAGTTAAAGAGACAAAGAGAGACGCGAAAGTATGTCGTCTCTTCGCACGTTCAAATGCAGGGACTTTTTGAAGATGGCGCGAATCAACCTCGACCCCCTGACGGAAACATATGCACTCCCCTTCTATTTGCAATACTATGTAAAGTGGCCAGAATACTTCCTCATGTCAGAAACCCCTTCAGGTGGGAAACATTGAAAGAACAGTCCGTTTTGAAATAACACTCAAAATGGAAAATCTAGCAAATTTTTCTTCTATTTGAGCGTGAATGAATGGAAAGTTTTTGTGCATCCGTAACAGCGGTTACGCAATGAGGATGGACGAAAAAATTACCGGGTCAAACCAAGAGTACTGTGTATGGCCATGAATGAAACAACTTCATGAATTCCTTGTCCACTTTTTCGAACCGTTTAATTGAAAAATGTGTGCAGAAAAATTTTGCTGCCGAAATTTTGGTCATTGATTTGTAAGGGAATATACACATGGGCCTCGTTTGGTTTTGAATTGTTGAAAAGACTTTTGAATGCAGTTATTTTGGACCACCTTGTTATTCTTCTCCCCCTCCCCCTTAAGCATCATAGGCGGGGGAATATTAAGTTGACTCTCAGTTGGAATTATCAGCCAATCAGATCGAGTATTTCAGGCGCGAACTCTTATTCTATATGCAAACTGAATGGTGAAGTAGAGTTTCTTAACTGGGTCGATTGTGAAGCATGTCAAGTTGACTCGTAATTTCAAACTTGAAAGAATAGTTAGAATGCGCTGCTGTGTGTAGGCGAGGTGCAGGGCTACATCATGGGCAAAAGTGAGACATTCAGGCGGGAGGGGGAGAGTTCCTGGCATGGTCACGTGACCTGTCTCACAGTGTCCCCGGAACACAGGCGAATGGGACTGGCCAATAGACTCATGCATCTGCTGGAACAGGTCAGACAATAGACTGGACACAATAGGCGCTTTTTTGATCCCATCCTACTTAATAGAAGCATCAGTTTTGTAGTGTAACGAGTGGTTTTACAGGGCAGCATACCACTTTTTTAACAAACGGTTTCAACGGTCGGGAATGTCTGTTAATTGTACCTTCTGCCGAGAGAATAGTCCATGCTTGAGTTTTCATGCTTCATGTACTTTTTTACTTTGTCCAGTGGTACTGAAGTTTGGAATGAGACTAATCACCTGATTGTGAACATAATTTCGTGCTACAGAACAATGTACAGCTAATAGTTAAACCTTAAAACTTCTGTTATTGCGAGTTGAATAGAGGCGATAAGTCGAAAATTTATTTAATCGTCACTTGGTTTCAATTTTTATGCGTATCGCAAACATAGCATGGCCAGCTTGTTAAAAAGAAATGACGAAAGTTGAAATCAAGAATAGAAAAAAATATCAAGGAAAATTTCATATTTCTTTTTTGCAGCGATTGAGCATGGGATAAAAATAGCAAATAGCGACGCGGCAGCTAAGCCGACAATCTTATGGCAGACGCTCGCTGAAACAAATAAAGGTTATGTCAAAAAAGATAGAAAGCTTCAATGAAAGTCCATTTTAGGTTGAAAATAAAATTTTATATAGATGTCTTTTTGCCCTGCAAACGACGCAGTATGAGACAACCAAACCAAACTAATTTGATACTTAACCTATTTAGCCGAATATACCAATTAATTGGAAATGAAACCGAATAGTGTGATTTTGTTAAGCAGTGCATAGAAATATATATTTTTATTCTGCGCAGGAAATTACGATGTTTATTTATAATGTAGATGTCTGAACTGAAGAGCTGCTACTTTGTGGACCTGTTTGTGAGGAAGAGTAACGAGGCCGCCATCAACATGTACTCGCGACTGGGCTATTCTGTCTACAGAGAGGTCATAGACTACTACTCCAGCGGGGAGCCAGCACCCCCAACCCCACCACCTCCTGACGCCGCCAAGGGAGGCACTGGGAAAACAGCGACTGGTAACTTCATATGCACCATTATGACTCATTCAATGATTTTCGGACTTTTTTCACTTTGCCCCAGACTGCATATTTTTCAGTTTCATTACCCTTGCGATAAGCAAGGGTATTACAATCGGGTGCTAGCAGGCGCGGATCTAGGAATTTCTCGAGGGGGCGGATTTAAAAAAAAATTGTCGACCTTTTTTTTAGGTCGTCCAAATTGATTTTCTGAGGTCTTCCAAATAACTATAAAGACCCTAGTTTAACCAAAATTTCAACGCCGCAGGCAAATTTTTGAAGAAAAGCCAAAAACGGCGTTTTTAGGCTTTGAAAAATGTTGACCAAAAATTCGTGTTTGTTTGGCGCTTGCTCCCCCCTCAAAATTAGTATATCTTGGCGCAGAAGGCGCTTTGAGAACATTTTTAGGGTCCGTCACCAAAAATGGATATCTCAAAATAGTACAAAGGGGGACCCTTTGGGTCGGCAGGAGGTCAAATCCCTGAGGGGGGGCGGCCGCCCCCTCCCCCTAAGTCCGCTTCTGGGTTCTAGAGTTTTTTCCCCGCAAACAACTTTGTCCACAGGACTTATTGGACTCCTGATGTATCTTGCTTCATAATGAATTCAAATTTTGTGTCTCTTGCACACTTAGCCTACTGGTAACTAATACGCCTGGGACGGCAAAGATCCTGTGTTCGAATCTGACTACGACCAATTTTTTTTCTAACGGTAAATATTCCGGATCAAAAAAATTTCGGACTATTATTTGTCTACTTATGTTTTGTCGGCTTAGTTGCCACATATAAGAATAGTTTATTTTAACTTTAAACAATTCTCTCTGCAGTTGCTTCTACGATTTTAAAAATCTGGCCGAATCGAAATTCGCTTTTCACATCGGTGGTAATTTTACCAGCTCGATTTGTTAATTTTTTTTTCATTTATTATCTTTTTTATCGGCTTAATAATTTTTGGCTTAATTAATATCAACTTATTGGCCTCTTATTGCGTCATTACGACCAAAACAAGTTTTTGTGAGCGTGCGTGTTGGCTCTTAAGGGAAAGGGGACAACATTTTCATAAGTTCAGATTTTTTTGATTTTTTCGGCATAAAAGGTTTCTGCTCAGGTATTTTCGGCTTTGTTACCGCTTGGTGATTATAAATTCAAATACAGTCAACCGTCCGGTGCATCTGTCGTAGAGGTAAGAAGAGGTAAAACAACAGCTTTAGATGGCAAAGGCTTGAGGTTCGAACCCGGCCGGGCCATGTTTTTGCAAACTAGATTTTTTGTGCTTTTTCGGACTATCGTCCGTCTGTTTATTCTTGTCGGCTTGGTTCCCGTAGCTCGATAGTTCAGCTTTACTCCAAGTTGCTGTAACCCATGTGCTTGAGACGACAAAGCCCGGGAGTTTGATTCCGGTTGAGACCTGTTTTTTTTTGCAAATAGAAAGTTTTGGCTAATTTAGATTATTGTCTGTCTGCTTTTTATGTCTGCTTAGTTCCGCAGAAAGGACTTTTTTGAAAACTTGCCTTCTTTATAGCTTTTCCAAAGCTCTTCTTTTCTATTAGTGCAGGCAATTTTGTTCCGGATGTTTTTGGGCTTTGGTTGCAATTTTTATTTGTTGCAATTTTTAAAATTTTGTTCTTCATTTTTTTCCGTTTGATGGGGATATAATTTACAATTGCCCCTCCCCTCCCCAATGGTATCTAATAAAGAATTGAACTCTTTTTCTTCTCCCCCTTTACCTCACGTAATCAAAGAAGCCTCAATTTAACTATGTAACGTTTTTTTTAACATGTTTAAGTATGAAGACCAAATATGTCTGTCCTTGCCGAATTATTTCTCTATTGTTTTCGGTCAACAAATCTGATCGAAATTAATAAACTTAAAACTGCCTATTTTGATGTGGAAATCCAATTTTCACATACTTTATAATATAAAAATAACATGAAAACTTCTGATTAACATATAACACACTGTTCTCTGACCGATTATGGCGCTCGCATCGAAAGGTCGTTTCGACGTTTAGAAAAGGTCGAGTTGCTATTTTGGTTGTAGAAAAACAAGCCAAAAACATGTATGTGTTACATAATAGTTATGATAGTTATGTAACAGTTACGAAAATGACGTAACTTTTGGCTGATTTGTATACTCTGCGACATAATCTTCGGTTAGTTTGTTCACTCGTTTTTTTCCACGTAGTCTAGATTGCATCTAGATCCTGCGTAAAGAAACATTAATGCCTTGAGAATTGAATTCTGACTGTCATTCGATAAGGATCTACAGCATGAGATATAGCCTAATAAAGTTCATTTAAAACACTTCTAAACTATACAAAATATTAGTTCTAATTGATGGTCACGAGTTTAAAGTTTTTTTAAACGTCAATGAACGTAGTGAAGAGACTTATATAGGTCGTGATGATGAATATTTCTGGAAAAAGTGTTAAAAATTGATCACGCTTCAAACTTGACTTTTGGCGGTTATTTTTAGATTTGCCACCGGAATAAAAATTTTACTTGTGATCCAGTTTTCTCTAATTGGGCTATTTTATGGAAAAAAATGATGATAAAAAACATGAAGTTTGAAGTGCTTCAACGGGATGAAAAATTTAATTTTTTCCAGGAGAAGTCATCGTTTTCTCAGTTTTACTTGAGTTCATTGACCTTTTCCCAATTCTCTGTTGACGATGTTTAGGAGTAGTTGCCATCCACGCAGAGAATGAGAATGCGTATGACATGAGGAAGGCATTGTCCAGAGATGTGGATCGGAAGTCTGTGGTGCCACTGAAGCAGCCAGTCTATCCAGAAGATGTGGATTAATCTCAATAGACTCACCAAGCAGTCCAAAAGTGCTATCGGCTCAGACAAAAAAAAACATTTGAGTTGAAAAACAAACTACTTTTGATGAACCCACCTCTAGTGTCCTTCTTTTGAACTTGTCTGTTTCTGACGTCAAAAGTAGTGACAATGAATCGGCAATTTGTCTGTATCAAATACTATTAAAAAATACTTCACAACCAAACTGCTCGTTTCCCGAAAATTACTTTTGCAACTAAAATTTTTCAATTACATTGTTACTAATTAGCCAAAAAACACAGCAGTCTTAGATAATATTAAAGACGTGAAATTTGTATTCCTTCAAAAGACTTGGTTGATTTTGAGACCTTCTTTCGCGGATATGAACAGTTTCAGTTGTTGGATTTCGATGTCTTTTCAACTTGTAGTATTAAAAAGCATTTAATTAACTTTAGTTTCTATCAATTCTCTGTTCACATTAAGATTCAATAAGTAGAATTGCTCCCGCACTTGAATCATGACGCAAACAAACGCTTTTGATATAATACGAGTTCAGTTTTTTCCAACCTAGCTCTCGTATGCCATTTAGTGTCTCGCATCTTAATAATAAGACCAAATGTCTTGCCTCAATTCAATTTGGAACGCATTAATCTGCCGCTTACGCGTGTCATTAGACAGCAATATATCGCGATTTAATTAACACAAATAAAAAATTTCAAGCCCCCATAATTTTTCAAACAAAACTTCTCGTATCAGGGAAAAGCCCTGAATGAATGTTTCGACTGCCCTTCTATTGATCTCGAATAGTTTTTGGTAAATTAAAAATTTTTTTGGCAAAAATATGAATTTTAGGCTGATGATATCAAAGTTTAAATGTTACAATTTGAGTCGTGTATGAAATTATTAAAACCAATTAACTGCCTCAATTCAATTTCGAATGATTTTGTAGTGCGGGATAATTCGCCATGTGTAACGTATAAAACGAGCAGTGAAGACTGACTCGTGGAAGATACCTATATCGGTGCGCACACCAGGCTGAGCCCATGCTGTGCAAGTGAACGGTCCCTCGAGTTTTGTAAAATTGATCCTTATATAAACTAACCCGGTTATATATATATATATATATTCCTCACTTTCTTCGAAAGTCGGAACAAAAATGATCGCAGATGATTTTTTTAAATTTGAGCTCAAGGAAAAAAACATCTTTCAGATGGTAGAAAAAATTTCCGTCAAAAATGGTAAGTGATAAAGTCAAAATAGGTCGAATAAAAAACCCATCAGGCATAAATATTTCGCTTTTTCTTCGAAATTCTGTGCCAAAACAATGAATGACTCAGTAAACCTTTTTGTAGAATCGGTTTTCCATAATTGCGATTAATTGACAAATGCTTGTTAGTACTGTTTCACGCGCAGTAATTAATATATTGTACGGCTGACCACTTTTTTTCAAGGTTTTTAAGGTTTTTTTGCAAGGTTTGTTTAGTAATTACAGAGCATATGATCTGGCAATATTTGCATTTTTTCTGCCTAAGACAACAACAATTAATGCTCTAAAATAATCTGTTTAGGATGTCATAGCTAAGAAGATAGTTCTGAGCTCGAATCACGCCGTTTCAATATTTTGTTCCGACCATTGAAAATGGGAAGAACTTTGTCTTCGAGTGCGTTTTAGTTTTTTTATTTTCAATACAAAATCAGGGGCCGTAAATAATCATCGCAACTGTTTCAGTGATTTATCATATTAGAGTCCTGCCACTCACGACTCGAAAGATTTCAAAAAATTCAAACAGTTTTTCAAGAGTTGGGTAAACCCGGTTAGAATTTTTTTGAGTTTTAGTCGCTGCAATATAGCTCGCTGGAAAAAGAATAATCAATCGAAATAATACTAAAGGCTTTCATTTAAGTAGTGAATATTAGTTTTACTCCGGGAAAACTAGTGTAAGAGGCTCAATTTTTTCGGAAAAACCAGAAAAAGTTTACCGAAAAGTGTTTGAAAATGTTTTCCTTTTTTTGGTTTTTATTCAAGGTTCGAAAACAACTGTTTTTTAATAGATTTTTTATGAATGTAGTAAAAACATTCTGAGCTAAATAACTTGCACAGCAACCGACTATTCTTGTTTTATTTTGAAGCTGCTTGTTCTTGTTTTTCTTGTTTTTGCCTCTTTGTATTTTTTGCTTGTCTGTGCGCAGTAGAAATACTTTACACAACTAATTGAAAACTCCTTATCAAAATTAAAGCAAGAATGAGGTTGTAAAAAAGTTTGAAACAAGCCTTTTGCTAATTAAGATGAATGCATTTGGGAGATTTGAAACGTTAGAGATTGAAGTTTAATTTCCCTTTTTAGATCGTGGAGACCAGGAAAGTCTTAAACGGTTTCTATGAACTCATGACTTCGTTTTTTTACTTCTATTTTGGACAGTGAGTTCAAAAAAAACTAATTCTGATTTGAAATTCAAAATTGCCAGTAGAACAAAACATCCCAACAATATCGTTTTTCAGGTTGGGCTAGTTATATCGAGATGTGTCAATCGAGATATAATTTTTTTTTCCATTGCCACTTGTTGCTGGTTTTTTCGAAGCTCGGCTTGGAGTTTGTGTTCATTTTGAATCTCGCCAAAGTTTTCAATATCAAGTGTAGGGCAACAATATCAATAACAAAACTTATTATTGATATTGTTACCAAAGTTGATTGTAGGTTTTAGTTTTCTAAGCAGATTTAAAAACATCAACGATCTAGTTTTGGCAACTAGGTTAAATTTTGGCAAAAAAATGGCAATGATGAGAGTCAATGATGGCAATGATGAGAGTCAAAAATGGCAATGATGAAAATGGCAATGATGAATTTCAGAGTTTAACGACACTGTTGTATGTTTTTTTTTTAAAAAAATTGACTAGAAATGAGCCATACCAGCAGTTTTGTTAGAGTTTTTTATGGCCATCAACACTGATGCAACTTCCTCGTGTGTAACGGTTGGGTTGAAGTGAAAGTCTAAATGAATAAAGAGAGCTAAAATGTTGTTAAGCAACAGTTTGAAACATGAATTTTTTAAAAGGAAGTGAAATTCAGTTGAAATATCAGTTTTCAAGAAAAAATTATTTTCTCAACACCAAGCGAACTTTTTAGAAGCATCTTTTAGGAATCCTAATCACGGCTGAAAGACTTTTCTACACTTGAATATTTCACTTGAATCACTGCCAGTGAACTTTGAGCTGCGTGATTTTGCTTCTTTAGGTCAGTATTTATTCCCATTCTGTGACTGGCCGGAAACACAAAATCATTTGTGGGTTTTCTAGCCAAATTGTGAGCCAATAGCGTGCGCATAAAATTTTTTACTTGGTTTTTAGAAATTTTGACGCCTTTTTTGACCTTATTAAATTTTCGAATTCCTCTACGAAATAATGAACTTTTAATGATCCTGTCTTAAGCCCCCATAATTTTTCAAACAAAATTTCTCGTATCAGGGAAAAGCCCTGAATGAATGTTCCGACTGCCCTTCTATTGATCTCGAATAGTTTTTGGTAAGTTAAAAAGTTTTTTGGCAAAAATATGAATTTTAGGCTGATGATATCAAAGTTTTAATGTTACAATTTGAGTCGTGTATGAACTTATTAAAACCAATTAACTGCCTCAATTCAATTTCGAACGATTTTTTTGTGCGGGATAATTCGCCATGTGAAACGTATAAAACGAGCAGTTAAGACTGACTCGTGGAAGATTACTATATCGGTGCGCACACCAGTATAAACTACCCCGGTTATATATATATATATATATATATTCCTCACTTTCTTCGAAAGTCGGAACAAATGTGATCACAGATGATTTTTTTAAAACTTGAGCTCAAGGAAAAAAAACATCTTTCAGGTGGTAGAAAAAAATTTCCGTCAAAAATGGTAAGTGATAAAGTCAAAAATAGATCGAATAAAAAACCCATCAGGCATAAATATTTCGCTTTTTCTTCGAAATTCTGTGCCAAAACAATGAATGACTCGGAAAAATTTTTTGTAGAATCGGTTTTCCATAATCGCGATCAATTGACAAATGCTTGTTAGTACTGTTTCACGCGCAGTAACTAATAAATTGTACGGCTGACCACTTTTTTTCAAGGTTTTTAAGATTTTTTTGCAAGGTTTATTTAGTAATTACAGAGCATATGATCCGACAATATTTGCATTTTTTCTGCCTAAGACAACAACAATTAATGCTCTAAAATAATCTGTTTAGGATGTCATAGCTAAGAAGATAGTTCTGAGCTCGAATTACGCGGTTTCAATATTTTGTTCCGACCACTGAAAAGGGGAAGAAATTTGTCTTCGGGTGCGTTTCAGTTTTTTTTATTTTCCATGCAAATCAGGGGCCGTAAATAATCATCGGAACTGTTTCAGTGATTTATCATATTAGAGCCCTGCCAGTCACGACTCGAAAGATTTCAACAAATTCAAACAGTTTTTCAAGAGTTGAGTAAACGCGGTTTGAATTTTTTTGAGTTTTAGTCGCTGCAATAAAGCTCGCTGGAAAAAGAATAATCAATCGAAATAATACTGGAGGCTTTCATTTGAGTAGTGAATATTAGTTTTACAGAGGCTCAATTTTTTCGGAAAAACCAGAAAAGTTTACCAAAATGTGTTTGAAAATGTTTTCCTTTTTTGGTTTTTATTCAATGTTCGAAAACAACTGTTTTTTAATAGATTTTTTATGAATGTAGTAAGAACATTCTGAGCTGAATAACTTGCACGGCAACCGACTATTCTTGTTTTATTTTGAAGCTGCTTGTTCTTGTTTTTTCTTGTTTTTGCCTCTTTGTCTTTTTTGCTTGTCTGTGCTTAGTAGGATTACTTTACACAACTAATTGAAAACTCCTTATCAAAATTAAAGCAAGAATGAGGTTGGAAAAAAGTTTGAAACAAGCCTTTTGCTAATGAAGATGAATGCATTTGGGAGATTTGAAACGTTAGAGATTGAAGTATAATTTCCCTTTTTAGATCGTGGAGACCAGGAAAGTCTTAAACGGTTTGTATGAACTCATGACTTCTTTTTTTACTTCTATTTTGGGCAGTGAGTTCAAAAACTAATAATTCTGATTTGAAATTCAAAATTGCCAGTGGAGCTAAACATCCCATCAATATAGTTTTTAAGTTGGGCTAGTTATATCAAAATGTGTCAATCGAGAAATAATTTTTTTTCCATTGCCACTTGTTGCTGGTTTTTTCGAAGCTCGGCTTGGAGTTTGTGTTCATTTTGAATCTCGCCAAAGTTTTCAATATCAAGTGTAGGGCAACAACATCAATAACAAAACTTATTTTTGATATTGTTCCCAAAAATGATTGTAGGTTTTAGATTTCTAAGCAGATTTAAAAACATCAACGATCTAGTTTTGGCAACTAGGTTAAATTTTGGCTAAAAAGTGGCAATGATGAGAGTTTCATGAATTTCAGAGTTTAACGACACTGTTGTATGTTTTTTAAAAAAATTTGACTAGAAATGAGCCATACCAGCAGTTTTGTTAGAGTTTTTTATGGCCATCAACGCTGACCCAACTTCCTCGTGTGTAACAGTTGGGTTGAAGTGAAAGTCTAAATGAATAAAGAGAGCTAAAATGTGGTTAAGCAACAGTTTCAAACATGAATTTTTGAAAAGGAAGTGAAATTCAGTTGAAATATTAGTTTTCAAGAAAAAAATATTTTCTCAACACCAAGCGAACTTTTTAGAAGCATCTTTTAGGAATCCTAATCACGGCTGAAAGACTTTTCTACACTTGAACATTTCACTTGAATCACTGCCAGTGAACTTTGAGCTGCGTGATTTTGCTTCTTTAGGTCATTATTCGTTTCCATTCTGTGACTGGCCGGAACAACAAAATCATTTGTGGTTTTTCTAGCCAAATTGTGAGCCAATAGCGTGCGCATAAAATTTTTTACTTGGTTTTTAGAAATTTTGACGCCTTTTTTGACCTTATTAAATTTTCGAATTCCTCTACGAAATAATGAACTTTTAATGATCCTGTCTCAAGCCCCCATAATTTTTCAAACAAAATTTCTCGTATCAGGGAAAAGCCCTGAATGAATGTTCCGACTGCCCTTCTATTGATCTCGAATAGTTTTTGGTAAGTTAAAAAGTTTTTTGGCAAAAATATGAATTTTAGGCTGATGATATCAAAGTTTTAATGTTACAATTTGAATCGTGTATGAACTTATTAAAACCAATTAACTGCCTCAATTCAATTTCGAACGATTTTTTTTGTGCGGGATAATTCGCCATGTGAAACGTATAAAACGAGCAGTTAAGACTGACTCGTGGAAGATTACTATATCGGTGCGCACACCAGTATAAACTACCCCGGTTATATATATATATTCTTCACTTTCTTCGAAAGTCGGAACAAATGTGATCACAGATGATTTTTTTAAAATTTGAGTTCAAGGAAAAAAAACATCTTTCAGGTGGTAGAAAAAAATTTCCGTCAAAAATGGTAAGTGATAAAGTCAAAATAGGTCGAATAAAAAACCCATCAGGCATAAATATTTCGCTTTTTCTTCGAAATTCTGTGCCAAAACAATGAATGACTCAGTAAACCTTTTTGTAGAATCGGTTTTCCATAATTGCGATTAATTGACAAATGCTTGTTAGTACTGTTTCACGCGCAGTAATTAATATATTGTACGGCTGACCACTTTTTTTCAAGGTTTCTAAGGTTTTTTTGCAAGGTTTATTTAGTAATTACAGAGCATATGATCCGACAATATTTGCATTTTTTCTGCCTAAGACAACAACAATTAATGCTCTAAAATAATCTGTTTAGGATGTCATAGCTAAGAAGATAGTTCTGAGCTCGAATCACGCCGTTTCAATATTTTGTTCCGACCATTGAAAAGGGGAAGAACTTTATCTTCGAGTGCGTTTTAGTTTTTTTTTTCCATGCAAAATCAGGGGCCGTAAATAATCATCGGAACTGTTTCAGTGTTTTATCATATTAGAGCCCATCCAGTCACGACGCGAAAGATTTCAAAAAATTCAAACAGTTTTTCAAGAGTTGAGTAAACCCGGTTAGAATTTTTTGGAGTTTTAAGTAAAAAAATTTCCGAAGAAAATTATTCGACGATAACTACCGGTTTTTGTCGTTAAAGGGCAAAAAATTGTTCGAAAGCAAAAAATTGTTCGAAATTTGAATTATTGTTTACTACACTTGCAAAGCAAAGTGTATTTGTACGAACTTTCTTTTTCCCAACCTAAGTTGCAAATATTAGTTCCATTTTGGGGCAATTTTTTTAGATTTTTGATAGCATGCGCTTTGACATTTGATTAGAAAAGAGTTCCCTCAGCTGATGCATTTTTAATTCATCATATGAACTGAAAAAAAAGTTACTTGTTTCAAATTGCAGAACAATGATAAAAAGCTGATTATCAGAAATTTTCTAACTCATTATAACTAGCAATTTTTTAAATTGCATAATTTGTACATAATGTGGCCTTATGCTTTGCGATTTATTACATGCTAAATTGAGTCAATTCGTATTTGGTGCCACTTCTGCTGAACTGCATTGGCAATTTATGAGTATATGTATCTGCTTTATTCGATTTTTGGTTGTGTTCTCGCTAGTGTTTGCAAAGCGCAACTTAGCCGCTGTGTGAACAACTTAATGCTGTATCTTTTATAAGCGTTATGTTTGAACAATTTTGTGACATTGTTCAACGAATGAAAAGTTTCTCTATCCTTTGAAGTAACAAGTTCACAACTCTGTGTTAACTGTTAAAATGTATATGAACAAAGTGAAAACAAAATCGCATAAGCTATTCACTTTCAACTTTGTTTTTTTTTGAGATTTGATTTTCAATTTTCCTTCCAGCTGACGTCGAGTTCATTTCGAAATGAGTTGGAAATGACATTATCTAAAAAGTAAGGTTAAACTGCGTTCTGTTTCATTTGTGCGTCCCACGTTTTAAGGAGAAATGCACCAGAGTCAAAGAAAAATGTGTCTGAAGAAAATTTTTCAATGATAACTGCTGGTGTTTTTGTTAAACAGGCCAAAAATTGTTCAAAATTTGAGTTATTGTTTATTACGCTTGCGAAACAAAGTGTATTAGTACGAACTTTCTTTTTTCCAACCTAAGTCGCAATTGTTGGTGCCACTATTGGGGCAACTTTACAGATTTTTCATAGCATGTGCTTTGACATTTGATTAGTAAAAAGTTAACACAGCTGATGCATTTTTAATTCATCAAATGAACTGAAAAAAGTTATTTGTTTCAAACAGCAGTACAATGATAAAAAGCTCAATTTCAGAAAATCTTTAACTCACAGTATCTCGCAATTTTGTTGAAATGTTGAATTTTTACATATTTTGGCCTTATGTTTTCCAATTAATTACACGCTAAGTTGTGTTCTTTTGTATTTGGTGCTACTTTTGCTGCATCGCACTTGCAATTTGTTAGCATATGTAGCTGCGTTTTTGGTGGCTAACTTTTGGGCATTTGAAGCATCCGTGGCTGAGTGGTTCGTACGTGATACTCAAATTTGCTAGGTCGCAGATTCGAATCCGACACGTAGCCGAGTTTTTGCTAATTCGAGGCTTAATTCTACTTTTTTTTATTTCACTTGATTAGCTGCTTTTTGGTCGTGTTCTTGCAAGTGTTTGTGAAGCGCAGCTGCGCCTCTGTGTTAAAATGGGGCTAAACGCGCGTAAAAAAATGTTTTGATTTAATCAGACAGAACTGCCTGCCATAAAATAATAGTAAAGGGGGAACCTTTGGGAAAATAGGGCAACCAAAACGGGGGGACGGGGGTTTAGGGGGGCGTTTGACTCTTTTGCCGGGCTTCTGTGTAAAATGTGAATGGGGGAAACTGGAAAATATCCGCAGCCAGTTTCCTTTTTCTGAAAACCTTTTTTCCCAGCCAAATATAAACGATAAACGCTTAAATTCTTTTCTTTCTCGAGATCTTCCAAAAACTCGGGATTCTGCTAATCGTACTTGTTGGTAAAGAGTTTACAAGATATCATTAATTACAAATTAGTGTAGTGAGTTAATGCAAAATTTGTATGCAAATGTCATTAATTATTGTTAATTATTTTATGATAAAGTACCGAAAAATGTGGCCTTTATGCTGATAGTCTTTTCAATTTTTTTTTCATTCTTTATTGTTTTTATTTAATTTTTAATTAAGTTTTTATTTAGATTAGTTTAATGTTCAGAAAACAGTTAAGTCTTTGAATGCTATTGGACAAATTTTCGGCCCATAATACGAATAAATCTCTCGTTTCGGATTGCCTGTGACTTTTAAGTTTTCGTTTGCTGTGTTGAACAGATGGTGAACAAACGAGCATCGCGTCAGTTCATCCCAGTAACTTTCGCTTTTGTCTTGCTTAGTCCACATCATCTCTCGTCTGTTCCAAGTTGGTGTAATTGTATAGGAGGGAAGAATAGTGAGGTCTTTTGCGTTTATATTTGTTATCAGTGAAAGGTTGTACATCTTTTTGACTGCGTCTGTGAGTATGATTGGCCCAATATGATTGCGTTCGCCTTTTATTGGGTCGAATATTCGGTGCGTCATTTCCATGACAAGCCATGCAAGCCGATGACCTGAAAAGGTTTCTTTGTTAGTTAGCTGCAAACTTCTATCAAGCTTAACGATATTGTTTGGATATGTCTTTGCCTTATTATTGGCCCGAAGCTGTTATAAGAGTTCCAAAACTATATGGTGTGAGAATTCTGGATAATTTAATCTAAAGTTTTATTGTTTTTATACCCAATCGTAATTTTCACCAATGAGATGAAAAGAACTATTTTTTTTTTGTTGCCGCTTAATAAATAATGCACAAAAACACCCAAAACACAAAAAAAATTATTGAGTGAATTTTCAGCCATTGAAAGACTAACTATTATATAATACTTTATGGCCTAGAAGAAAAATTTGGGCTATACCTTTGCTCAAATGAAACTGGCTACTACTGATCTGGTATGAACCCTGTCGCTTAGTCGCCCCTGGCGGTTTCTTTTCAGTTCCCTCTGGCAGCTGACAGTCTTTCGGTTTCGGTTTATCATACATGGCGTTAATTGGAACGGTGTCTACAAACGAGTTCAGGTCTTTCAGAAATAAGACATCCAAATCGGCATAAAGCCCGCCATATTTGTACACTAAAGGGGAGCGAAGTAGGTCGCTGAGCCAGTTGCCGAGAAACATATCGGGTGCGTATTTGAAGTATCGTTCTATATCCTGTTCAAGAGGCGTGTTCGAAAAAAGTTCCTCAAAATGAATAGTATAAAAGCTTATTTTGTTTCTAAGTTTGTTCAGAATCTCACACAAGCCAGGATATTTGGATAATTTCAGAGAATCTGCTCTGGTAAGAACATTTACATGAAGTCCAGACTTTCTGGCCGCCGACTCGATAGCGCACAGCTGTCTTCCAGATAAGCTGAATCCTTTGGACTTGGGACTTGTATGCGTGAAGAAGATTTGCTTGTTAGTTAGCGAGTCGTGTGCTGTGAAGTTTCGCAATGTTAGATAACCATCACAGTCTATGATTTTATTTTTCAACGATGATTCTATTTCTCCGGTTGGCTTTGATTTGGAAGCAGGGAATTCAGTGTAATTTTTAGGAAAGTCAGTTGGATGGTTTCGTTGTTCTGTTATTGAATATCCTCGAAAAAGGTAAAAGTAAGCCGCAAACGCACCTGAAACAATTAATTTTTTAAACATGATTAAAAAACTAATAGTAAGTGAGTGCAAATTGGATACCCTAAGAGCATTGTTGCTTTGAAAATGTAAAATGATAAGTTTGATTAAAATGCCGATTAATTTTTTAAAATTTTAAAGTATAATAATCCAATATAATATTCGTCTAATTTTACTTAATTCGGAAGCGGTTCGCCAACAATATAATAGATCAGTTAAAGCAATTCCGAGCTGAAATGCCATTTCTTAAAAGTCTTGTTGAACTATGCCAAAAGATATCTCAAAAACAAGTTTTTGGAACAAACAAAAAGCAAATTTTGTTCGCTAGCGCGAAACATCAAAAAGTACCTATTTACACAAGTATAGATTGTGTTATAGTATGAATTTTATTTTTTTGCCAGCCTAAGTGGCAAATTTTTTTGCGATGCAATTGTTGCGGCAAAATGTGTTCATTTTGAAAGTTTTCATTTTGATCCAGTTATTAAGTACTGCCGATGCTAAGTATATTAACACAGACTATTATATTTATATAGCACTTTAGCTTCAAGGTATCATGGTTCTGTAGCGTAGAGGTAGGGAAGAAAACCAGCAGCAAAATAAGAGGGTTCGAACATCAGCAGGGTTGGAGGTTTTAGTGAACTTTTTCGTATACTAGTTATAATGCATCCGCTCTAAAATTGAGGCATGTTAATTGGTAAATTTCTTTTCAAATTGACTGGTACTGCTAATGCGTCAAAATTGGCTTGCGTCACTTAGCAATTATTTAGACTCATAATTGGCGTGCGTCACTTAGAAATTTTGCAGACTCAAAGTCTTACTCATTCAGTTTTTTCCAAGAGCGTTGTCGGTCATATTTTTGCTTGTGTATGCGAAGTGCAACTTCGCCTCTGTGTTAAAATTTAGTTTATTCGGTCGAAACAAAGGCCACAAATTCGGCGTGAAAAAATGTTGTGAACGAATAATTACTCAAATCTTAATGCAGATTTGTTTCCTAATACACGTGGAGTCAGCAGAAACTTTTCAGGGGGGGATTTTATAGAACCCATTCAAAGAGAGAAAGAGAGAGAGAGAGAGAGAGAGGAGAGAGAAAGAGAGAGAGAGAGAGAGAGAGAGAGAGAGAGAGAACAAGGCAAAGAACACTGCTTGTATCAAGGAGAAGCCGCGAATGTTCCGACTGCTTTTTAAGGTCTATGAAGCAGTAATAACTAGAAAAAGTTTATTTTTAATAAAGTAAAACGAAAAAAAAAATAAAATTGAGATTTTTTGTAAAAATCATCCACCCACACGCCATATAAAGTACAAAGTAATAGATTCAGCTCCTATTAACAAATCAGTTACGGCAATTAGGCTTCCTTTAACCAAATTGGGACAATTTCTAAGACGGATTAGATCTCCGCTTACGTATTAATAGCGCGAAATATATCGCGCGTTAATTGTCCCAAATTGGCCAAAATGGCAATCTTTTAACCCCCATAACTCTTTAAAAAATGATCCCAGCTACAATATCTTTTCAAATTCGAAATCAAGACATTTATACCTTTTGAATGCTATAAAAATTCCGTCAAAAATGGCTAATGAAAAATTCCGTTAAAATGGCTAATTAAAAATTCCGTTAAAAAATGGCTAATTAAAAATGGCTAATTAAATGGCTTATTAATTCGTATCGAAAGTCGGAACAATAAATACTAACTAATTCGCTAGCAAAAAATAAGATCATTAGTTGAGTAAATCAAATAAATGTCGCAAACGTAACGAATAAAATCAAGTGACGAGCAGTTGCTCCACTAATTATTTATCGTGGTTTAGCTATCATCACCCTACAGTCAGGTTTCTTGAGAAGTTATAAATGAAAAGAAAAGCTTCTTGAACCAAAGAAAACTGATGTCAGATCTAAACCTTGAGTGTTTGAACTGTCATCGAACTTTGATCAAACGCTCTTTCTTTCAGAAAATTCTTAAACATTGTTCAAAAAAATGAGAAATTATTCAGTTTTTGTTTAATTTTTTATTTTTGTGTTTTATCCTTCTACACACTACATTGTCCTAACCTGATTTTCCCAATCTAGATTATACTTGTGGAGTAGTGTCAAATTTTAACCCCGGTGATTTTGCAAAAAAATTACCACGGTAAAAGAAGCTTTTTTAAAATTGAGCCCTGGGTTGAAAATTTTAAAAAATTATATCAATATTTTTCAAACTTTAAAAAAATCGTCAAATCAAAAATAGCTACTTAAAAAATTGAAATTTGTCTGGAGAACAAACTAACCCTTATCAACATTTTCGTCACTTCTTCAGTTTTTGAAACAACAGCTTTAGGCACTGTTGAAAAAGTTTCGATTTTCTTTTTACCTGTTTTTTAGTATTTTGTAGATATTTTAGTTCCTGAATTTTTACCTAACGTACTTTTGCTAGTAAAAACAAATGTTTTTTTTCTTTATTGATTTTTTCAGCAAAATATGGTGGGGGAAGATTCGGAGACGGTATAGTGTCTCTGAAATTTAAGGCCATCTGACGTTTGTTTGAAAACTTCGTTGCCAGTATATCCAGGATATCTTTGCAAAGATTGCCATATCATTCACTGCAACTGATGTTTTGCTCTCACTAATATTATTGTTCCGACTTATAGAGTTGAAGCATGTGAATTTGTCTAATTATTAGGATGCGAGACGCTAAATACATCTCTTTGTGCTTTGCATAGTGCGTGGAGGGGTAGGTGAAACGAAGCTTTGCAAACTTTTCCTTTTTTATGTTTAAATTCGTTTTTCAACATTTTTTTCCAATTGAGCTTAAAAGCAGTCGAAACACTCAAGGCTTTGTCTTGGCTTAACAGTAGTCTTGTTTCCGTTTTTTGAGCATTTCAAATCTGATTGAAAGAAAATAATGTGCTGATTTTGGCCCAAATTTACACAATGTATTTTACCACCTGAAAATTTTTTTATTGTTGTTGAGCTCAAATCTAAAACAATTGTTGCTCCCTGATAGTTTATTTTTGTGAACCTTTGAGATTTTGAAAATGTTACTGTGACCAATTGAGATAATGAACGAGAAAAAAAATGAGATTTTCTTGGTCAAAATTTTACAAAAAGTGCCGAAGTGCTGAAAATTTTGGCAATTAAGGCTCTCAAGTTTTTGGAAGAGCTATGAAAAACAAGTTTTTTACCTGAAAAAAAGGATTCATTTTCTTTTTCATGGAAGTCCGCTTCTTGTATCAAAATCCTAAATCCGAGTCTGATTCCACAAATAACAACAATTTTTGTTGCGACTGAATGAATTTGATTATTTGATTTCTTGCTGTCACGAAAAGATGCGGGATTGTAAACCTCCAGAAACGTTCCAGCAATTCAACGAAAACGAGTCAGTCATAGGATTGTATTATGGCGCTTGCAATTAGCAAGCTTTTTCGAAGCGGATTACAGACATTTTGTCGCGTTAATAACTAGTTTAACAAAATCAGTGATACATATGATGCTGCTATGAGATGCGCAAGTTCATGCTCAATTTCATGAAATTGCTCATTCTCAAAAAATGCAAGTTTTCACGAAAATTCAAATTAACTTCTGGGTGATACTAGTTACTTCAGATCAGTTTCAGGTGGAGTTACAAAATCAGTTTTTTTTGGCTCAACTGTTGTCTTCTCAAAGATTGTCAGCTTTGTTTCCATTTCGTGAATTTGTTCAGTTGCGAATTTGATTTTCAAATGTCTTTCTTGGCTTGTTTGCCTAAAATTGTTGCATAGCAATAACAGTTTTTATGCAAGTGTTTTGGATTAAGTTTTTTATTTCGATTTTTTTGAGACGCTTTGGAAAATTTAATCACTTTTTGCAATTTTTTTTTCAAAAACTTTTCTTTTAATGATTTTCAAAAAAAGTTATCTATAAAAAAACAGCCTAGTTTTTTGTGTGCCTGCATACTCTCTTAGTGTCTTTTTGCTGTAGCCCTTTGTCTACAGCCTTCGAAAAAGTCGGTGGGGAATATTTCACAAATGTTTTTTTTTTTCGTTTTCTCAAAACCTACCTACCAAATCTGAAATTTTAATTTCAATGAATAGAATAAAATATCAAACTACGGCCCTCAAAAATGTGGAAAAATTTTCTACAGTCTTTTGAATCTTGTTTATTTTTTCTCAAAAAAAAATCATCTCCCAAACATGAGGTTGTGGGCTCAAGGGAGATAACGGGTAGTTGGGTGCTCCCCTGCTTTAGCGGCCACTGTCAAAAATTTTTACACAAAAATTAACGTCCTTGAAAAAATCATTTTTTTTGAGCTTTTTCTTTCTACGAAAAATACCTTCCCATATCTGAGATTTTGGGTTCAATCCAGAAAACGGGTTATGGAAATGGAAGTTTGTTTGCATACGCAACTACGCCCAAATTTTTCTGACACAAGAAATTATGGCTATCGGAAAAGTCAAATGTTTGATGCTTTGAACTTTTTTTTTGAAAACTTTTGACTTTTCTCAAGAAAAAACTGCCAACTCTGAGATAATGGGTTTAACAGACAGAACAAATTTTGAAAAACTTTGTGCAAAAACTGCAAGTTTCAGAAATTTAGTATACAAATTATTGTATTTTTGTGTATCTTGTTTTTTTTTAATTTTTCAAACTTCACTTTTCTCGATAACTATCCTGCCTTTTTATAGGTTTAATTTATACAACAGGTTGTTAAAAGCTTACTTTTACAATTTACTCAGCCCGGTTTCTTTTAGAAAGAAGTTGTGGCTTTCAAACAAGTAAAATGTTCAAGTTTCGACCGTTTTTTGAAGTTTCTTTACTCTACTCGACAACTACCCTGCCAATTCTCACGTTATGTTTTCAATCGAGAAACCCGATTTTGGGAATCTTCTCTACTTTACCCAGCACGACCTGCTTTTAGCAAAAAAAGTTACGGATTTCAGAAAGTCAAGTTTTTGAAATTAGACCGTTTTTTAGAAACTTTTTGAGTTTTTTTAAAAACTACCCTATCAAACCTGAGATGAAAATTTCAATCGTTAAGAAGCGGTTGCGCCGCGAGTTTTTGCTCCTCTTTATTTTTGCAAGAGAAAGGTTTGGTCTTTGGGAGAATTGTAAAAATCTTAAAAACTTTTTTTCTTCTCGCTTATTTTGGTAGAGAAATAATTATGGTTTTGGGCAAAGTCCAATTTTTTGAAATTACGCATTTCGTCTCGCATCAAAATAACAAATTCAAAAAACATCAAACACGTACCTCTAGCTTTAGCTGAGTCCTAGGTGTCCTTGATCGAGACACGAAAACTTTGGTTATAGGCCAGCCGAAAAGTTACGTGACATTAAAAAAATTAGCATGATTTTCGTAACTGTTATATAATTGTTACAAAACTTATTTTCGGCCGGTTGATGCTTCGGCTGGTTTATATACCACCTTGTTTTCCAAAGATCTAAGCTTTTCCTGTATGCGACGAGGTATCGCGTTTAATAAGTTGGCGCTTTAAAATCAAACTTACCTAAAATTGTCAGTAGTGTTTTGGTGTTTAGTGCTTTGGTACTTTGAGAAATCAACATCGACCAGGTTTGCAAGAAACTGCGACTTTTGATGTTTTAGTAACTAATCTAAAGTCAGGAAGTAAAAACAAAACAAAATTAACATACAATCGCAGATAAACGATAGAGGAATGCACTAAAAATGAGCTAACTAAGTCCAAACTAAGCAGTTGAGTTTAAAAATGAAAATATATCTTTTGGATCTCGTTTTTTACTGCAACTACTGCAATTGAATTTTTGACAGATATAAAGAAAAAAAATAGCTTGTAAGGATCTAACTGGCTTCAAGCTGAAGATTTGTTTTGAAGGTTATCATTGGGCAGTATTTCGTAGCCAGTAAAAGTGTTCTTGTCGTAAACATCTATGCGTAAACACGAAAAGTTACACTTTTGGACTCTAAACGTTGATTTGGGTAGCTAAAGACTGGCATATTTTCGGAAAAACATTAATTAAAACAAATGAATAGATTGGTGGGCCCGGTGTTAAAATCAGCCAACTAACTTTGATAATTTGCTTGCTTACTGACGAGTGAAGGAATCAACAAAAAGCTGTTTCGGCGAAAGTTTCGAAAAGTTGATGCATAGTTACAACAAAAACTCATGTTGTCCTAAAATTTTTTCCAGTGGGCTTGCATAAATAGCTCAGATGGAATTGGATAGCTATCTCACAGAGTCATTTTTGATAGAGTACACCGTATGTTTATTCGAATCTGTTTTGTGACAGATCGTATGTTTGACACATTTCAATCGGATAAGTTCCTGTAACTTCTAAGTCCAATATTGGTCCAACATTTTTTTCTAGATAATCTCAGAGTGAGCTGATTGCGAACAACCAGCAGGTTTTTAAATAATTTTGTAAAAATTAGTTATGGAATAAGATTGGATTGTAATAAATACTTCACAATCACATTTAAAGATATAAAGAGTGAAACAATAATACAAGTAGAATTACGAATGTGTCACACCCATCCAGTGATTAATAAAGCGTTTTTAATTTTAAATAATTATTTTTTGAAAATTCATTCGACCTGGCTGAGATGTGTTTTCTTCATTTCATGTTCACATTAGGTTCTACAAGTTGTTGTAGTCTTCTGTACCGGTGTAAAGTAGTGTTTTTCCAGGTTTGATGCTTGATTCGATGTGCAGTAGTTGTTCAATGTGTAATGCTTCACGTGAGGCGAGTAATCGCAGCCTTTTTAAAAGGCGACATTTCGCACCAAGCGTTAATTTGCCCCAAGTGTCGATTCGTAGCAAGCTTCAAATCGCAGCACGATTAACTGCTAAAATTGGGGATTAAAAAACGTGGCAAATAGAGCAAAATCTTTTGCGGTGTTTGTGAGGGGATTAAAAAACAACGAGCGATCAAAATTTTCTTTTAAGCGCAAATTTTGAAATAAATACCAAATTAAAATGAATTAACAGTAAAGATAAGAGTAATTCGGCGTTAGTAGTATCTAAAATACTTTTGTTTCGATTCATTCAATTTAATTTCTTCTTGCAAATCAACATCTTTATTGATAACATTATGCGTTCAAACTTTGTCATGAGCGAGCGAGGAAAACAGCAACTTGTTTACGCTGGAGAAACTTTGAAACTAAACCGCCACATTAAAATAAGAGATAAATCCAGCTAGCGATGTGTGAAGAGACCGTGTAAAGCTTCTGTTGCGACCGTCACAGATGAAATAGTCGGCACATCTGGAGAACATGTTCACGAAAATGTTCCATGCGAGAAAGAATTAAAAAAGTGAAAAAAAATTTTGAAAATTTTGACACGTTTTAAAACTGTGAAATTTTAGGGTTAATCGTGCTATCAAGCAGAAAGTAAAAACAACATTGGAGCCTTTGAGGATCCTTTACGCAAAAAACGCTAGGGATATTAGTCTCGAAACGTTTGTTAACACACCTAAGTACAAGTCATTCTCAAGAACTATTTTCAATGGAGTGACTCGGATGCTTTTTTCATTTCACTCAGGCCAATTGGCGCAAAATTCAAGAGATTGGATTAGCACCAGTGTATCGAGAAGATAAAAAAACACGCATGCTTCTAAAGTAATTCAATGATTTGGCTTTGATACCTGAGCTCGACTTTAAAATCGGCACGAATGCTTTGTGTTCTGAAATTTCCGACTAAAGTGACGTGCACCCCTTATTTGATTGAGTCAATTACTTCGAATCAAATTGGTTAGGAACTATCTTCCGAGGACGCAGAGGGGTTAGGCAATTCACTATTTCTCTCTGAAACCAGTTCAAAAACACACAAAAAATGGAAGACAGAAAACCAAAAATTCAGTGGAGTGATGGCACAGGGCCTTCCAAATGGGGACGGGGTGTGCTCACCCCACCATTCACAAATTTATACAATTCCTAAGAAAAGAACAAAGTCTGTCGGAGAAAGTGCCGCCAAGGTGGCAAAATACAAAAAAATTCAAGCCAGATTAGTTGAGTTTCTTAAACATTATAGTAACAAAACTAATCTCAAGCGACTTGAGTTCCACTGATGCAATTTCAATTTTTTGTTCTTTTGTTCTTCAATTTAAGTCTTCAATCTAATTTCTTTTGATCTGATCAAAGCTTTTACCGCTCCTAATTGTCACTTGCTACGGGTAGTAGCGTCCTACGAATAGTCGCTTTTTACAAATGCTACGAATGATTGCTTGAAATGAGTTGTCGCGTTTGAAGAGTTGTCGCCATGTCAATGCTTCACGCTGCCAGATAGTGTAATGATAGGTTTATACGAGTTTCCTCTGAAAAGTAGATCATATAACAGTGCTCGGACGGTCCGCGTGGGAATCCGAAGTGAGGTAGAAAAACTGTTATGGTTTTTCGAGAAGACTGGGTTGTTATTGTTTCTTTCAATAGCATGATCCTCAGCTCAATCATACTGAATCCTCAATATTGAAGTAACATTTAGTGGTTTAGTCCCAACAAAAACGTCCACACTGCCTTCAGTGGATCAATCTAGTTTCCTCTTATGACGCTTAAAAATATATTTGGAAACATTCATACTGCTCTTTGGGTTAAATTAATTTCTAGTATGAAGTATTAGGTGCTTTTTTGGTAAAAATTTGCGGGAGTTTGTTATTTTTTAAGCGTTATTCACACTGAAGCTTCTCATGGTAAAATTTGTTCTGACTGTTTCATTTATGATTGACCACGAATGGTTGGGCTGCTTGTAGAGCACATTTAGAAGGCCAAGGGTGAGTGGGACTTTTGAGGGGTGATCGAAGAAAGGGGATTGTTCAAACTCAATTTTTTTAAATTTTATTTTGTATCTTTGATTTGGCTAGGACATTAAGAGTCTATTTAATTATATTTTTTATCTTTTCTTTATTGTTCGTGGGCTTCGATCTGAGGTTACTTGTTATAGATCTTGATAGCTTACGCTTACTCCAAAAGAAAACAAGTAGCACAGAATGTTCCGAGCATAGGTTTTAAAAAAAGTACAAGATAAAGTTTTTTTTTCAAATTAGTTTTTCTGCATGTGGTGATAAAAAAGTCTGAAGTAAAACTATATTTTAGGCATATTTGACATTCATAGTGATACAAGCAAATTAAAAAACAAACGTTTTTTTTTTTGAAAACTGACTAGAAGTTTTTAGGGCTTAAATTTCTCCTAATTAAGCTGTTGTAATCCTGTTCGCTTGCTTTATTTGCTCGAATTAGGACAAAAAATCAAAAATTTCGAACATTTTTCTCGACACCGGGAAAACTTTTTTGAAATTTTAAAATGTCGTTCAAACCGCGGCTGAAAGGGCTTTAATATGATATGTCACTCAACCCAGTCCGATGATTAATTCTGGTAGCTGGTTTTGCGTAGAAAACAAAAAAAAACAACGAAAACACATCCGAATACAAAGTTCTTCCGCATTTTCAATGGTCGGAACAAAATAGGTGTGATTCGACAATATTTTTTCGGTCTAAATATGAGAGCTGTCCTGCTACCCTGCTACATGTCATTATCTTGTGGGGTTAGAAATAGGCTGATGCGGTTATTTTTTGGTCATTCCTGATGAAATGTGTGAAGATGTTGAAGATAATGCATACAAAATGAAGGTATTTTCACAATTTTAGCAACTAAAAGTTTCATCCAAGCATTGGAATTTATGGACTGTTATGCAGATCGGTTTCAATCAATTTATTGGATTTCTCTTATTACAATGCGAATGTTTTATTTCGATTAGAAAATTTCATGCAATTTTGCCTGTAAATCTTGAAGGCAAGTAGTTTCTTGGTTCGGAGAAGACACAGTTGGGGAATAAATTAGTATTTTTTAGGGATTCGTGACAAAGAATAGACAGTAATTGTGTTATTTTTGCTTCGGTTAAATATGTAGTAGCACAAAGAGTGCTCAGTTGATTTCCCTGTTGTGGGAATCGTGTTCAAAGGGGTGACTTGATTTTTTATTTAAGTAATATACTCAGTGGTTATGTTTCAAGCGGTAGTGATTGTCATACCTCAGTGTATGAACTTCTGATTCTAGAATTCGATTGGATCGACAAACTTATATTCTAATGCGAAACGAGATAAGACAACTAGTTGGAACCAATGTTAATTCTTGGTCTGACCGATCATCCGGTCGCTTTTTGAGAGAAGATATCTCAAGGTCGATTAACCAGCCATATGTATGGTTATAACATACATTAACATAAAACATGTATAGAAATATATATATATATCTAGGTTTTGTCGGTCCATACTGGATGACATTCCCCCTTGAGACAAAAATAATAAATTCGAATTGAGTTTTAGGGTCCACGTGGGACCGTTGTACTTTTTTGAGTTTTTAGAGTCCCCGTGGGACTTTTGAGTGTTTGATCATTTTCCTTCCTTTGATGGTTCTTCCTCTTGTTTGTTATGTTCCTCGTCATCCTGCAATTCATTCTCATCAATCTTTTGTTTCTTCTCGTTTTCTTTGATAAGTAGGATTTCGTTGTTGTTGT